GGCATCCTGTTGTCCCCCAGGACTCCCAGGTCCCTTTCCACAGAGCTGCTCTCCAGGAGGTCAGCCCCCGACCTGTACTGGTGCGTGGGGTTATTCCTTCCCAGATGCAGTGCCCTACACTCGCCCGTGTTGAACTTCATAAGGTTCCAGGTCACGCTGTATGGCGGCACAGCCTTCTGGCGTGTCAGCCACCCCTCCCAGTGTTGTGTCATCAGCAAACTCGCTGATGGTACACTCCATCCCTTCAGACGTCGCTCAGCACCTCGCCTGCTTGGTGAGGAAGGTGAGTGGAAGTTTAGGGTTCCTGGCCCACCTTGCGGATGCGTGGGAAGGAGCGATCCCTGGCTGACAGCGGATCGGTGATGATAGCGTTTGGCCAGGAGAGCAGGGTTTATGGCCCCGGCGTAGAGCCGTTGTGCTACTAAAATCTCACAGTTACACAGTGCTGTATTGATTAAAAACCGCTCCTGATAAAAGATGTGGCCCATCTGTTCCCAACGGAGCTGGAGCGGTCCTCCTCTCCTTTGTTGGGAGCAGGAGGCCGTTGCCTTCCCCTTAACGGGAAAAATGAGCTCAGAGGTGTCGCTGATCGGAGTGGGATTTGTGACACTGCTGGAAATGATGTGTACCTCTCAGTTATGTGTCCGAGAGCCGAATTTCAAAGGGAAGCTGGAATTAGTTGGGGTCTCGATGGACGAATTGCCTCGATGCTGCAGAGAAACAGCTTCATCTGCTGGCCGTGCCGTCGGGGAGCCGCCGAGCGTTGTGTTAGTTTGCTGTTGCTAAAGGCGGTGAATGAATCTGCCCGTTTTGGGGGTAGTTCTTGACGCTTAATTCTTTCCTCCTGCTTCGTTTGACGTATCCTTCCCCTTTAAAAGCGAGCCGCTGGATTTATTGCCTCGCGCTTTGATGCGAAAGACCTTGACTACTTTGAATTGCCCCAAGAGATACCAGCCTTGGCATGGCTTCCGCATCAGCGGTACTTCTCCTTCTTATCAGGCGTCGCTCCCCAGCTCGCTGAACTCGACCCGGCACATGCCGCAAGGTCATACGGGGAGGGGTTAAAAAACACCCCACAAAATCAACTGGGGGGGATAAAACCCGAGGGAGGGGGTTTGTTCGCTGCGTGTTCGAGGTCCGTACTATGCGAAAGTGATGAATAAACTCCGTGATGACTTTCTTCTGCAGTTTATAAAAGATTCATGGCCAGCGAGCGGACTAAAAAAAGCGCCTCTTGTGTTGTCTCTTCTGGTTTAGTTACCTAAATGACTTGGATAGAATATCCCAGCCGACCTATATTCCGACTCAGCAGGACGTTCTGCGGACCCGAGTGAAAACGACGGGCATTGTGGAAACTCACTTCACCTTCAAGGACCTGTACTTCAAGTAAGTAAAGGGCAGCGCTCGTCCCTGTGGACTGCGGTGATTTCTTCAGCGCGTGGTGGTGGTGGTGGTAGGTCCCACACCTGCGCTGCAAAACGTCTTGCCCTGTTTTAACTGTCCTCCTTGCCTCCGTTACACTCCCTCTTTACTGGCATCGCTCACTGGAGATACCGGTTTGACTTTTATTTGCCTTCTTCTGTTCTTTTCAGCTGCTTTTATGTTGGAATCGCAGACACAGGTACTGACTGCTTGTTTACAGGATCCCCACCCTACTCCCCCCCAAAAAAATTAATACTAAAAGGACACTGACTCCTGGATTTTGAGTTTGAATTTAACCCTTTCCTTTGAAGCGGGAGATAAGAGCTCTCCCCGCAGTCACAGTCTTGGCTCCGGGCTGCATGGTGTTCTCCACGATGACTGCGCTGACTGACGCTCGCTGCGGAGCCGGGACGGGGCATGCAGAAAGCGCGCTGGGGACCGCCTGCCTTTGCGTGACGCCGCAGCGGATGGGACTTGCCTGTCCTCTCTGCCTCCTAAATTCAGTCCCTGCAGGGCTCGAGTGTCGAGCCCCGTCTCGGCAGTGTCCCTTTACGTATCACTAATGGAGCTCCCTCTAACCTCCGTAGCGGCTGCTGGCCTGCGGTTTAGCTCTCCTCCCCGCTCTTGATGTGCTCGTTAGAAAATCCTCGCTTTGGGTTCCAAGTGGGCTCCTGACGAACAGCCTGGAGCCCCTCGGGGTGGGCATTCGTGTCCTGGAACGTGGACGTAGGAAAGTGCAGCGCCTTTATCTTGGGCGCGTTCCCTTCGTCTGTGGCAATGTTTTCAAGCCTTTGTTGCTCAGAGCTTTTAAATAAGCATTTGTTTGCTTATTTTTAGCTTGTGTTTGAAAGAGCTGTAGCAAAAATCCCAGTGTTGCTTATAAAATCTGATCCCTTTGCACGCTTTTTTTTTTTTGGTGGAAGACAGTAGCGTTTTGGCTTCTGAACTATCTTAACTTACGAACCGTTTTAGTGAAAACGCCTAAACACTTTGCATCGCCGAGCTATTTACGTGGCTTCTGGTTCCTCTGGGGGGAAGAAAAAAAACCACTTTGTCTTCCGTCGTGATGCGTTAGGATTAGTGGTTCCAGCTGCAGTGTGTGGTGCTCTTTTAAAACCCATCACGTCTGGCTAACGGAAGAGTGAGCTGGAGGTAGCGGGCGGATTCCGTTTAATCATTATAACCCTTCTTTTGGAGTGAAATGGCTGAGCGCTCGGAGGCGTTGCCTCCCTGATGCAAAGAAGGGGAATCGCTCTTTCCTGAGCCCGCCCGGAGTCATTGATCGTGTGCAGAGCCCGAGACACACGCGGTGTCTCGTCTCGGAGGGATTTGTTCCACAAAGGAAAGCATTAATACATCTTAAACCCCGGAGCTGCCATCTTACCCGCGACGAAAGCCTTGATGTTAAATCTCAAACATTAATAACGGGCTGAGGTTGCCTTAGTATAACTGTGACTCGAATTTGGATGAGCTCGGCGGAGCCGAGTTTTCAGGGATGCTGTTCCTTTCCCGATGTCTCTGCGCTAACAGCAGAGCGTAACGGCAAACGATACAAGTGAGGTAAATCGCCCGTATCCTCGCGGAGATTTGCATCTTGCCTCCTGTGGTCCATGGGGACGGTTTACCTTAAATAGAAGACGGGAGGTCACTGGACGGCCCTTCTGGCTGCCTCGTTTGGCATCGTTAAATCGCATCGCTTTTGGCCCACCCTGGGCAGTTTCTCTCTCTCGTTTGCCTGGTTGCTCTGATAACAAATCAATGTTTATGATTTTCATAACTCTGGGAATATCGACTTGTATCTGCCTTGATTTAATTAAGTCGCAGTCCATCAGAACGTCCTGGGCAATCCTGTTTCTCATCCAGATATTTTGATGAGTGGAGTGTTGGCACTGTCTGAGACACTTACGTCTTTTTTTTTTTTTAATAGACAGAAATTCCATAAGCGACTCTGCAGCCTTTAAACTTCAGTAGCTCACAGCTTACTTCTTTTTTTTTTTCTTTTTTTTAATACATGAAACTGTTTCTTAACCCCATTAACTTTTTTTTCTGGGTCGCGGTAGTAGCACGCAGGTAGTATGTTCCGCGTAACCCTCTGGCAGACGCAGTGTAAATTAACTGGAAGAGCTGACTGTGAGGAGGTGTTTGGAGTCCAGTCAAGCAAATGGATTGTTGCTAAGGCAATAGGAGACAGAGAACAAAATAAGCGTGCCGTGGTGAATCAGCAGACTTCTAGATAGCCGTGGAGGTAACGTCGAGTTCTTCCTGCTGAAATTGCTCTTAAAAAAAAAAAACCAAACCCAAAAAACCTCAACTTTTGAAATCCAGTGGGCCCTCTCCTGAGAAGGGGAGGGCTTGGAGCTGTTGGCCTTGCCCGTGGAAGGCTGTGTGCGTGTTTTCTCCCTAAACCCTGCTTGTTAAAAAGTCCGTAGCAGAACCTCCTCCATCCCCTGGAAACGATGCGGTGGCCGGGGCCAGAGGTCTCCGTAGCATCTGAGATGTTTCTTCTGCCTCTCCCAGGATGTTTGATGTTGGTGGCCAACGGTCGGAGCGGAAGAAATGGATCCACTGCTTTGAAGGCGTGACGGCGATCATTTTCTGCGTGGCCCTCAGTGATTACGACCTCGTCTTGGCCGAGGATGAGGAAATGGTACGTTATGGAGGAGTTGCCGGGTGCTGTTGCAGGAGTTCCCACCTCCTGAGAAGGGAGGTGGAATCATGGGGTGGGCACGTCCCCTGGCTTGCTCCTCTCGGTACGGTTGTTCAAGGGCTGTGAAGATGAGCGTTTCCTTGCAGCAGCCCGCGGTGTCTTGCCCCAGAAACTGATAAACGTAATACCTAAATGAGATTTTTCTCCAAACCCTGGTTACGGGGAGATGCCTCGAGTTGTCCCTGCAGCCTGTTCCCCTGGGTGTACTTCCGCGGAGGAACAAACGCTTCCCCGGGGGAATCAGAGGATGAGGAGGTGACCTGACCCCTGCTCGGGGTTGTGGCCATGTTCTTCCTGATGGAGTGACAGTGGGGATGTGTCAGGGACACTCGACTCTTAGTGTGGCCTTTGCAGCAAAGCCTCTCTGTCCCCGCACCCCGTCCTCCCCTAATCACTCTGGAATGACACGTCACCCTTCGCGTTTGGTTTATTTTCCAGAACCGGATGCATGAGAGTATGAAACTGTTTGACAGCATTTGTAACAACAAATGGTTTACAGACACGTCGATCATTCTCTTCTTGAATAAGAAAGACCTGTTTGAGGAAAAGATTAAGAAGAGCCCGCTAACGATCTGCTACCCAGAGTACACAGGTACAGTTGGGCTCCTGAAACGGCGTTTTATTTGTCACTGAGGCCATGAGTGAGTCTGTTTAAAGCCCACACACTCCAGGGATAACTTAAAAGCTTATCTTCTTCCCCCCTCTTCCCTTAGCTCTGTCTCTTGGGCAGCGTCTTTGGGCTATCCAGTTAGCTGATAGCTCATCGTCTCGGAAGAGATGTGCTCATGCGTGTCCGTGGTTCGGAACAACCTTTGTCCATGGGTTTTATGGCCTGGAGTGTTGCACTCCAGCAAATCAAGGTCACTGCGCATTTCCCACCCGTTAGTAGGACAATACTTTCAGCTAACTTCCATTTCTGAGGCTGTGAAACTTATCCACGCCCCAGGTACGGCAGTTGTCCGCCCTGCTCTGTCCGTCTTTCAGCAGCAGCCTGTTTTGCAGCCCATCCCTACCACGGCTCGATGCTTCACCTCGGCACTGCTCGAGGCATTGAGATTTTTTGAAACGGTCCTTCCTTCAAACCTGCTTATTCCTGTCATAGAATCATAGAATGGGTTGGGTTGGAAAGGACCTTGAAGATCATCCAGTTTCACCCCCCTGCCCTGGGCAGGGCCACCTCCCCCCAGCCCAGGTTGCTCCAAGCCCCGTCCAACCTGGCCTTGAACACCTCCAGGGATGGGGCAGCCAC